GGCCTGGACACTGCGGTGACTGAGGCCGAGTGGGGGGTGAGGGCGAGAGGAAAAACGACTTGGACACTGGGGTGACTGAGGTAGAATGAGGGTGAGGGCAGAGTGGGGGTGAGGTCAGGAGGCAGGATGGCCTGGACATTGGTGACCGAGGTCAAGTGAGGGTGAGGGCAGGAGGCTGAGTGGTTTGGGGTAACACATGCTGAAATGGGGGCCCGTCCCTGAGAAGATGCTGGATCCCTGGCACAGGTGGGATTCAGTCACAGCCAGTGACAGATGGGGGGCAGGGGTAGAGGTGGCGCAGGGACAGAAGATAACACTGGTGCCCCATCTCTGCATAGAGGTTTGGGGGTAGCACCCCTGAAGTGCCCTGCACAAGGACAGTGCGACGCAGCCCCGTCTGTCAAGAACACCAGGAAGGGTCCCTAGACGCTGCTACACAACCCGAGACAATTCCAGGAGGCTGGCATGGTCTCCTAAGACGGCCTCTGGCTCACCACTCGAGGACCCCACGACCTCCCACTGACCAGCGAGGCCCACTCCCGGAGGGCCTGCAGGAGCTGGTGGCCGGGACCACGTCACACTCACCATTCTCCAAGCTTTTCGGAGGAGATTTGCTTTCTAAGGAGATTGTGGCAATTTTCCTCTCAATTCTATTAAAAAGGAAAGAAAAAAGCCCATGGAACACACTTAGATGCTAAAAGAACCTTACAAACAGTATAGCGTGACCCTCAACCGCACTCATGGGTGTCCGCACACCAGCAGACAGGCACCTGGACAGCCCTGTTCACAAGGACCAGCAGGCAGGACCCTGTCCATCCACATGGTCCACGCAGGCAAGGGGACGTGACCCAGCCTGGCACTGGGACAGGGCGAATCGCAGCGTCACTGTCCTAGTGACATCTGTCAGAAGGTCACACGGAGTCTGGGCCTACAGTCAAGTGTCGGGAGGCAGGGTCAGACGGGGACAGTGGCCCTGTGGTCGTGAGGAGGGCGACAGTGCTGATGGGCCTGAGGGTGATGTCATCAAACAGGTGGGCAGTGGCCCCATGACCGCACTGACGGGCCTGCGGGTGACCTGAGAGAACACGGAGGAGGTGGACGGTGGCCCTGTGACCTTCAGGACGAGGGTAACGACGCTGGGTCTGGGGGTGACTTGGGATGATACATACTTTGAACTGGATGGAAAGTGGCCCCATGGTCACGGGGATGACGACCATGTGTACGGGCCTGGGGGTCACTCGGGAGATGTGATAAAGGAGGTGGACAATGGCATGTGGTCATGAGGACGGGACAATGCTGGCAGGCCTGGAGGTGGCTTGGAGGGACGCTATGGAGACTACGATGACAAGAGCGTGACAAGCCTTTAGCTGAATACCTCACAGCGACCTGGATGGTGAGAAGGGCCTTCTGAAGCTTTGGTGGGAGGTGGACGTCCGTGCCCTGGTCCCACTGGACCATGGTCACCTCCTAAGCACTAACCTGGCACCCGGTGCACTCAGGGATGACGGCTCAGGGGAAGGTCTGGCCCAACACCGACGTGACAGCTGGTTTGCTAAGTGGGACGGAGAAACTAGAACTACACTTGACCAGAGCAGAGCTGGGGCTGCAAGGACTCGAGGCCCTGAGAGCCTTGGGCCACCTGGCACCTCTCTCCTGGGGGTGACTCCACGCTCACCTGGCACTGCTGGGCTCATCCTCCGAGCCCGGCTCCTCGTCCGAGGTCAGAGGGGAGTAGTGGGCCCCGTTGGTCTGGCCCAGCGGCTTCTCCTTCTTAAGCACGGGCGGCTGGTCATGGTCCTGGTAGGGGGCAGGTGAACTCTTCAGGGAGTTCTCGGGGGACGAGATGGCCGTGATTTCTAGGGGCTGGTTAATGTTGTTGACCTGAGGGAGCAAAACCCCCCGAGGAATGGAACCCGAGTCCTTCCCATGGCCCCTCCTGACATGTCCTGCTCGACCTGTACCCAGGACGGCAGCACCTAGCCACTCCCAGGTCCCCATGTAACCCTGCCCTCACTGTGGCTCCGTGGGCCAGCCCGCCATCACCCCGACCCCGTCAGGTGGCTTCTGAGGACCAGCCCCGTCATCCCCATGCCCGCCGACTGTGGGTACCTCCCCAGTACCCTTCTCTCATGTTCCCTCACCATGGAGTTGAGGTTCAGGGGGGACCCCGAGGACTGCGTGAGGAGGCTGGTGACGGAGGGCGGAGCCCGGCGCTTGGGGGACACGCCTGAGCTCAGGCTAGGGGTGCCCGCTGACGAGCGCTTCCTGCGGCCTCGCTTCCGGCTGTCTTGCCCGTGGCCCTGGCTGCTGTCCCCACGGGCGCTGGTGGTCAGGGGGCTGTGCTTGCTGGAGGGAGATGGCCGGGCCCCGCCGGCGCCGGCTGTGATGGAGAAAACGATCCTACGCTTGGCTTCGTTCTCGGGATCTGAGAAGCCTGTGTCACCGAGCAGGTCCCCCCTGCCGGCACCGTCGGAGAGCAAGCCCTGGGCAGGTGCCCCGAGCCGAGGGCTGGACGAGAGCTGGTGGGCAGGGGAGGCCGGGCCGGAGCCCCGAGCCTGTGCCAGCAGGGAGGGGTGCTGTGGCGTGGAGCTGCGGGAGCCCATGGTGGTGAAGAGGCTGCCCGACCCCGAGGACTCGTCGAAGGTGGCTGGCTCGGCCCCGGCGAGCTGTGCTGGGCTGCCCGTCAACGCCCCGTTGATGGCCAGCAAGCCAGAGTAGGAGAAGCCTGTGAGGGGGGACACTGGTGTCGGGGAGGCCTGGGGCTGCTCACACAACCTCCAAGCTACACTAGCTCTGGAAGGCTCCAGCCCCGGGGCCATGAGAGCGGCCCACCACGACCAGCAGAACCGGGAGGAGACCCCCGAGCTGATGCGGAATAGAGACTCTATGACCACCTGTGCTGACACGGGGACAGAGACACAGGACCTCGCTGTGCCCCTTCCTGACATGGTGATAAAGCATGAAGACCCCACTGTGCCTACACTGCTCACAGGGTGGCAGGTACGCAAAGGACCGTGCCCCACTCCCCACCAGTGTGGACACGGGGTGAGCACACACAGGGGACCCCCTCAGGAAGCACTGATGTGAGGGCTGGTCCACAGGACAACCTCAAAGCCCAGGTACTGAGACTGAGGCATACACACCCAGGACCCCTGACCCCAGTCTTGCTGACATGAGGCAGACAGCGTGGCCCACGTCCATGCACACACAAGGTCACGTCGTCTGTGGCCATCGTGACAGCAGAGGACACCGGGCACCTGAGCTCTTCCACCTGTGCACAGCCCTGAGTCTGCTCGCTGGAGCTGCACCTCCAGGCGGATGGTCCCACCACTCACATGCAAGAGGCCCTGATGGGATGGCCCTTCGCACACAGAGCAGAGCATCAGGACGGTCAAGGTCACCAACACATACAGCAGGGACCCGCCCCCCCCAAAGCACGCTGCGGGGATGCAGCCCTGTGGTGGTACCTGCGGGGGCCACGGCCAGGCCTCTGTTTCCGGCAGCACTGCCCACACCGCTGTGGGGGTTAGCACCGAGGGGTCTGTCCAGGGTGGAGGAGTCTCGGCCCTGGTGCACGGGGCTGGGCGTGCTCCTCTGCGGGGAGGAGGTCATCAGTGGTCTGGGCACAGGACATGGCATGTTCTGGGCCCAGTGAGGGGAGCAGCTTGTGACTGAATCCCCCTACAAGAGAGCCTGAGCGACTGGAAACGGCACACAGCAGTCCCTACAAAGGCCCTTAGAGGGTCTGCTCAAGGCTCACTTAATGCTGGACAAGGGCGGAGCTGCGGTGAGCTTCCAGGGAGGAGAGGGCAGGGGGCTGGCGGGTAGTGTGTGCGCAAGGAGTGCCCGCGGCTCTGCAGGGAATGGCGGCGAGCTCGTGCGTATGCAGGACGGGCTACGAGGGGGCAGGGGAGCGCGGGGGGAGACGGGCTACCAAGAGTGAGGGGTGCAGAAGGGTATGGGGTGGGGTAGAAGTGTACAGGGTGGGGGTGCAGAAGGGTACGGGGTGGGGTGCATAAGGGTATGGGGGTGACGGGCTACCAAGAGACGGGTGTGGAAGGGTGCGGGGTGGGGTGCAGAAGGGTACAGGGTGGGGTAGAAGTGTACAGGGTGGGGGTGCAGAAGGGTACGGAGTGGGGTGCAGAAGGGTGTGGGGGGTGCAGAAGGGTACAGGGTGGGGTAGAATTGTACAGGGTGGGGTGGAGAAGGGTCTGAGGAGGGGGGTGGGCTGTGGTGGGCTGTGTGTGTGCAGAGTTGCGAAGTGTTGGGGGGCAGCGAGGGGTGAAAGGGAGGTGCCCACTGCCACGAGCTGGACGTTCTGGTGTCAGGTTACAGGGGACAGGGCTGTGGAGAGCTGTTCTGATGTGGAAACTCCATCATGCCCACTCCAGGGGAGCAGCGAGGGGGCCTGGCCTGGGCCGCACTCACCACGCGCTCGGCACGGCTGGGCAGCACCACGCTGGCCAGGGGGATGCTGACCGGGAGCTTGTTGGGCTGCACGGTGCTGAGTGGGATGCTCACGGGCAGGCTGGTGATGGTCTCGCTGCCGTACGGGCGCTCCTTCAGGCCCTGCGGGGGCCGTGGTCAGCACGGGCGGGGCCGCCCTCCCGGAGACACCCCAGCAGGGAGCCCCAGACCTGCAGTCCTGCCTCCAGCTCCTTCCCACCCTGTGGAGTCGCTGTGACGGCCTGTCCCCCCGTCCCTCCAGCTGACTGCTCCTTCTGACCCCGTCCCTGTCCCTCCAATTGCCTAGTCTCCCCCACCCTTGTAGCTCAGCTCCTGGACAGAGGTGCCTGTGTCCTCCCTGAAGTCCTAATCGGGGTGTCCCAGGTCCAGGCTTTCCTCCTATAAGCCCACCCCACCATCCCCACCATCCCCAAGACCGGTCAGGGCCTGCTCGCACCTTCTCGCTGCCCTTCTCAGTGGTCATCGGTGAGGCGGCAGGGGACGCGGGCCGTGGGTCCTGTGGGCTCAGCTTGATGCTGCTGGAGATGCCTGGACTCTGACAGCTCAGGCTGTTCTCCTTGGCGTGCTCCCCGCTGCAGGGCGAGGGGCTGGTGAGCGAGAAGAGGTGAGTGAGGTGGTGAGCGAGAGCTGGTCAGCGAGAGGCGGTCAGCGAGAGCCACCCGACACCTGTCCTCCCTCCTGGTTGGTGTGCTCCCCGTGACAGAGGGGGGCCGGTCAGTAAGAGGCACCGCGGCCAGCACTCACCGGGCCTGCAGCTCGCTGGTCACCTTCGCCCCGGCAGGGTCCTGGCTCAAGTGGCGACGCAGCACGATCTTTGCAGGCGAGAGACGTGTGTAATCCGGCAGGGCCAGGCCGGCCAGCTTATCGAGCCGTGGCCGGGCCCCGTGGCTGGGGGTGCAGGGCACCACCTCCTGGTCCAGGGGCGAGGCCAGGTACTGCGGGGTGTTCTGTTTGGACGAGGGCCGGCTGAGCGCACCATACAGCTCACAGCCCGCTGCGTGGCCGTTGATGGACAGCTCAGGGCTCAGGCTGCTCAGCGGGGGCAGGGACAGCTTGGCGCAGTCCAGCTCCAGGTGCAGGCGGCTGGGGTCAGGCTCCGGGTCCCGGCCGGGCGCCCCCTTCCCACGCAGGTGCGCGGCCAGCGCCTCCTCGGCCGGCACGTACGACTTGAGCTGCAGAAGCTCCTGCTGCCTCTGGCTCTTCTCCAGCTCCACGATGCTGATCTGGAGGGGGGACTGAGTCAGGGCTGCTGCTGGCCGGACACCCAGGACACACGCCCGACGGCTGTCCTGCCTCTGCCAGCTCGGAGCAGAGACCGCCACAGGGAGCGGTCACAAGTCAGGCTGTGTGGGCCCCACGTCACACGCCGCTGGTGGGTGGGCACCAGGTCCAAGAGAAGGCCTGACGGGGGAGCTGAAGGGGCACAGCAGCCCCGCGGCCCTGAAGGCCCGGCTGTGGCCCTGACTGGGAGGCTTTCTTCTGTCACGTCAACGAAGGGGGTAAGTGCAGGACAGCACCTAGCCCAACAGCCTTCTGAGCCAGGGAAGAGTTGACACGCTAGCGTCACAAACACCATGTTTGCTCGGCCTGGCCATCTGCCTCCCGATTGTTCCCAGCATGACCACCTGGGGAGTGGTCAGTCCTCGGAGGAAGAGGCCCTGACCAAGGGCACAGACATGGCATGGGTACCCATGCCCACCAAGCTGGGGCGACTGAGTGTGTGCACGTCGCCAGCATGGACGCGGGCCCCTGGCACAGACATAGGATCCTGACACCCTAACAGCTTGGACACAGAACCCCCCTCACCCCTCCAGCACGGACGCAGGCCCCTGGCACAGACATAGGATCCTGACACCCTCACAGCATGGACGCAGGACCCTCTCCACCCCGCCCACACCCTAACAGCATGGAAGCAGGCCCCCCAGCGCAGACACAGGCCCCCTTCCCGCAGCATGGCCGCAAGGCCCTAGCACGGACACAGGCCCACCTGCAGCTCTAGGCAGCGCCTCTGCTTCTCAGAGATCTGGGTCTTGAGGGCCTGCTTCTCCTTGAGCAGCTTCTCCAGCGACAGGGTGGGCCAGTCCAGCTTCAGCTCTTCACAGCGGGCCTTCAGCTGTCGGGTGGGGTGGGTATGTACCAAGTGAGTCCTCTGTCAGGGGACCCCAGCAGGACCTGAGCGCCTGGAGCAGAGAGGCCCTCCTCCCAGAGGCTGAGGAAACTGGGGAGTCCTCGCTGGTCTCTGACAGACGCCCATGTGGCCGAGCACTGCGACCTGCACGAGGTCTCTGGTCAGTGCCCGAGGGGCAGGATGTCTCTAGGCTGCCCTCAGCAAGCATGGCCCACCTCCCAGGGAGGGACAGCCCTGGATGACCCGCCCCAAGCTGAGTTCGCACTCAGCTCGCCCGAGAGCCCCGCAGGGGAGTGGAGTCTGCCAGAACCACCTGCCGGAGTCCAGGGTGGCTGGCCTAGACCCAGAGCCCCCACAAACTATTCTCCAAACTGACCACCCTTTTGTCCCAGCCACACCCTGGGAATATACTGCCCCGCAGGAGGACTGAGTACCCACATCCCCATCCTGAGGACACAGGAGTGCAGGCCCCATGCCTGTCCTGAGGACACTCACATGGAGGCCCTTTCCACACCCTGAGGACAGGTGTGCAGGCCCTGCCCTGGGGAACAAGCCCTCCCTCGCCCTGTGGACATCCCAGCTGCAGGCCCTGCCCTGGGAGATAAGCCCTCCTTCACCCCGCGGACACCCCAGCTGCAGGCCCCGCCCCGCGGACACCCCAGCTGCAGGCCCAGCCCCGCGGACACCCCAGCTGCAGGCCCCGCCCCATGGACACCCCACCCCAGCTGTAGGCCCCGCCCCATGGACACTCCAGCTGTAGGCCCCACCCCGTGGACACCCCAGCTGCAGGCCCCGCCCCGTGGACATCCTAGCTGCAGGCCCTGTCCTGGGAGGTAAGTCCTCCCTCGCCCCGTGGACACCCCAGCTGCAGGCCCAGCCCCGTGGACACCCCAGCTGCAGGCCCAGCCCCGCGGACACACCAGCTGCAGGCCCTGCCCTGGGAGGTAAGCCCTCCTTCACCCCGCGGACACCCCAGCTGCAGGCCCCGCCCCGTGGATACCCCAGCTGCAGGCCCAGCCCCGCGGACACACCAGCTGCAGGCCCTGCCCTGGGAGGTAAGTCCTCCCTCGCCCCGTGGACACCCCAGCTGCAGGCCCCGCCCCGCGGACACCCCAGCTGCAGGCCCCGCCCCGCGGACACACCAGCTGCAGGCTCTGTCCCCGCAGAGCGTCGTTGTCCTTCTCTAGCTGCTCCGTCTGCTCCTTCAGCTGCTGGTTGTGAGCAGAGATCTCCTTCTGGGCTTGGATCAGGTCGTTGTAGGTCAGTGCCTTCACGCCCAGCTGTGACAGAGGGGACCTCAGTGATTATGAGGGCACCCCACAGGAATGCAGGGGCCTCCACAAAGTTGGTATAGGCCTCCCTGAGCCTCCCAGGTGGGGAGATAAGGGAGCAGGACTAGGTGTCAGCAGTCACTGGCCCAGCAGGAGGAGCCTGTGGGGGCACTCTGCCAGGACACCCCAGTTTCTGGGCCAGCCAGCCATGAAAATTCTCATGAAGTTCAGAGACTGGGAAGGGACCCCCTTGAAGAACCCTATCTTGTCCTGCTTCTAGGGAAAGGACACCTTTCATGGACCCCACCTCATCCAACTTCTAGGGGACCCCTTTGAAGGACCCCACCTCATCCAGCTTCTAGAGGAGGGACCCCCTTGAAGGACCCCACCTCATCCAACTTCTAGGGAAGGGACCCCCTTGAAGGACCCCACCTCATCCAACTTCTAGGGAAGGGACCCCCTTGAAGGACCCCACCTCATCCAACTTCTGCTGGAAGAGCCTCCGAATCTCCTCCTTCTGGGCCTGGCAGTGGCTGAAGAGCTGCCGGGCTGCGCCCAGCAACTGGGTGTTCTTCTCCTGTGGACAGATGGACAGCAGTGAGGGTCGTGTCGCCAGTCCACGCCCAGGGACAGAGGGGCACAAGCATGCTGGGTCAAGCTGATGGCAGTGTCCTACCAGGGGCCTGGCCCCAACTGCCCGAGGCCAGTGAATGCCTGAGCAAGCCCGTCCGCCTGGGAGCCGTGGTGGAGACGGTCTCAGTCGCAGCACTCGCCACACTGCTCCACTGCCCGCCAATCAGAGCAGGGAACACGCCACGGGGCCCACAGTCCCTTCACCCCAGAGTGTCCAGAACAACAGGGCCTGAGCACGGAGCCGCGGGACCCAGCGTGACCAGCCCCGGACCCACGAGACGGATGGAGGCCAGCTGACGAGACCAGCCGTGCGTCCTCAGGAGGCAGCCTCACCTTCTCCTGGTCCAGCAGCTGTTGGAGGTTGGCCTTGTACTGTGGGGTCTTGGTGTATGCCAGGAACTGCAGATATTGGATCTTGAAGGACTCTGAGAGGAAAAGCAACCGAGCTGCAGGGGAGCAGAGCTGAGAGCAACGTGCTCTCAGTGAGTAAGACGGGCGCACACCCCCTAGCCCGGGCAGAGCCACCAGCCAACGCGACGAGGGGCGCACACCCCCCAGCCCAGGCAGAGCCACCAGCCAGCGCGACGAGGGGCGCACACCCCCCCAGCCTGGGCAGAGCCACCAGCCAGCGCGACGAGGGGCGCACACCCCCCAGCCTGGGCAGAGCCACCAGCCAGCGCGAGAAGGCCCTGTGGCCTCCTCCAGCGCCGGGAGCTGCCCTCCACGAACCCAGCAGGTGCCCGGCCCGCCCTGTTCAACCCCGCTCTGGCATCTGTCACAAGCACATCTACTCAAACCACCTCAAAACTCAGGGTAAGACAAGATAAAAGGAGGAAGCAGGGAGCAGCGTGCCAGCCGGGGGACCCTCAGGCTTCCTCAAACCCGTGCTCTCAGCCTTGCCCACCACCCGTGTGCCAGAGCGTCCTCCTCATGCCCCCGCCCGTGTCCTCAGGACCGAGGGCATTCTCACACCCGGGTCATCTCCTGTACCCACCTAAGCCCACCCCGTCCACACAGACACACTGTGTCCTCCTCACACCTGGGCAATCTCCCACGTGCACCCAAGTCTAATACTCCACCCACACGGCCCACGGGCACTGTCCTCACACCCGGCGGCCCGCGTCCTAAACCCACATCATCCACACGTTCTGAGAGCATTCTCCTTACACCCGGCTCATCTCCCACGACCACCCTGGTGTCTCCCATGTCCACTGACCCGAGGGCGCCCGCCTCACGCCCAGGTCATCTCCCACGTCCACCTGAGTCCACCCTGTCCGTGTGACCCAAGGGCGCCCCGCCTCACGCCCAGGTCATCGCTCACGTCCACCTGAGTCCACCCTGTCCGCATGGCCCGAGTGAGCCCGCCTCATGCCCAGGTCATCTCCCACGTCCACCTGAGTCCACCCTGTCCGTGTGACCCAAGGGCGCCCCGCCTCACGCCCAGGTCATCTCCCACGTCCACCTGAGTCCACCCTGTCCGCATGGCCCGAGTGCGCCCGCCTCATGCCCAGGTCATCTCCCACGTCCACCTGAGTCCACCCTGTCCGTGTGGCCCGAGGGCGTCCACCCGATCTCTGTTGTGCGAGGTTGTGGGTGAGGAGGCGGGTGGCCTTCCGCGCTCAGCAGCCGGGCGCCAGGCCCACATGCCCACGCTCCCGGGTCGGGGGCACTCACCTAGCAGCTTCTGCAGTGCAGGTGGGGTGGGCGCCGCCAGCAGCGGGCTGGACGCGTGCCGCTGCACGGCCGGAGGTAGCTGGTAGAACGGACTGTGAGGTGACTTGTACGCATCTGTGAGGGGACAGCATGGTGGTCAGCAGGGGGCCCCCCCGGGCCAGCAGCCCCCCTGCCGTCCTCACAGGCACTCTTGGTCTTCTCTGACCCCCGGGCCACGTGGGCACACCAGAACTGCTTCAGTGTCTACCAAAGGGCAGCCCGGCCGCCCTGGGCCCTGCAGGCGTGGGTGGGCTGCCCAGTGCCCCCTGCTAGTTGAGGTCTGGCCGCCCCAGGACGGGGTCCACGCACCCTGAGGCGAGGACGGGGCGGTGGGGGGTGTGGTCTGTGCATGCAGGAGGTCCAGTGCGGTTTGGCTCTTCTTGGCCCTGCGTTCGGGGTTCGCAGCGCTCATCTTCTTGGGGCGTCCGCGCTTGCGGCCGGCCATCTTGCGTCCTTTCTTGTTGAGCTTCTTCTTTCGGGCCTTGGAAGGGGACGGCTTCTTGACGGTGGCGGCCCCGGCCTTGTCGTCCTCTGCACCAGAGTCCTGGCACACGGGGCGGAGGTCAGAGCCTGCCCACCACCCGCCCAGACAGCCCGCAGCAGGGCGTCCAGCACACCCATTATCAGGGCATCTGCAGGTATGGCCACCTTGGACTCAGTCCACTCAGCCCTGGGGTGTCTGCGGGCGTGGCCGCCCTGCTCTCCTGGACGCCCCCTCCCTCCTGGGACAGCCTGGTGCGGGGTGCCCAGCACTCACCACTGGGGTGTCTGCGGGC